CTTATGAATAGTCAGTAAACTAAAAAGTATTTATCTGGTTAATATGAATTTTCGCATATTTTATTAAAAACTTGTGTACCCTTTATACACCCGTTAACTCACATTTTCAATGCTTCTTTATGCACAGGAATATTTCCAGATTTTTCAAAACAGCAAAAATTAAGGCACTTTTTAAAAAAGGGAGCAAAAATGAAGTTCAAAATGACCAACAATTTCTCTTTTGTCAGGTTTCTCTAAAATATTACAGAGGCTTTTCTATTCGTGAATGGAAACTTTTCTAAGGAAAAACGAAGCGTTTTCAGTCTCACAACACGGGTTTAGAAAATCAAAATCGACGGGCACTGCCATTTTTTCTTTTCTTAAAGATGTTGCTTCATCAATGGACCAAAATGAAGCACCCATTGGAATGTTTTTAGATCTTTCGAAAGCTTTCGACGTTATTGACCATAACATCGTGCTATCAAAATTACCTTCTTATGAAATTCGCCCTAGATTGTATAACCTCGTACCTTAAACATCGGTCTCAAAGAGTAAAAATGCCGCACTGGCACGAAAGGACATTATTTACTTATCTTTCCAATTCTTTACTAATTAAATATGGGATTCCGCAAGGTTCGATCTTAGGTTCTATTGTGATATACGTAAAAGATATGCCTTCGTCTATTAAAAACGGAAGAACGAATTTGCCGATGATACGAATGTTCTTTGCAAAAAAGAAACAATAAATAGTACGATTTTAGAAGTTTCAAATTGGTAGTTAATGAAGAAAAAACAGTTTCAATGCATTTTTGCATTTCAAATCAGCAAACGCATCTCCATTAAAAATGAATAATATGCAATTAGGTCATGTTCAGGTAACAAAATTTCTAGGTCTCTCAATTCAGTCAAACCTCAAATGGAGTGTTCATATAACAAAATTAAACACTAAATTAAGTTCATTATGTTACGCATTCAGAATTCTATCAAATTCTGTCAGTCTTCATGCAGCTCGTTGCGAGTATTTCCCGCCTGAAATATGATATAAAATTCTGAGGAAACTCATCACGTAGAACTCAGATTTTAGATTGCAAAAGAAAATTATTCGAATAATGAAAAAATGCCATCCGCGTTACCTTTGCAAGCCTCTCTTCATTGAACATGGAATCTTACCACTGCCTTGCCTATACATTTACGAATCTGTAATATTCGTCTTAAAGTGACTTACGTTATTGTTGTTTACGAAAGATCATTAAAAACGTTTGTTAAACTTTTTCAGAAAAAGGACTAGTCCTTCCAACTGCATTTCTTCCCAAAAGAGGCTGAACACACAAATATCATTTTATTAAAGAATCTACTTTGAGTTGCACTGCACAAAATGTTGAATTCTTGACATGTTTAAGATCTAGTTAGCCAGAACAATACAATTTGTTACATGCGTAGTCTCCATGGTTTCAAATTGTTCTTTACAACAGAAATATCGTAAGGCATATTATTAAAACATAATATGAGAGTATTGTAACAGAATGTTTCCAGTCCGGCTCGAGCCGCCGAGGCGAACGCTTCGTGTCCGAGGTAGCTCAGTCTTACCGCTTTTGGCAGTGGTCAACCCGCAGTGATCAGTACAATAACTCTCAGGGCCAGTGTTGTTCTTGTGAGCGGTGCGAACAGTACCACGTTAGAAAAGGTGTTGTATTTTAGTTATAAGAAAGCCAACAAATCAATTTACACTAGTTAATGATCACAAGGCTGCTCCGTTACGGGACAACTAATTCAAAGCCGCTACTTATAGTGAAAATGGTGAAAACTCGTTTAACAGCGAACCTGTGCAACCCATCCCAGGTCAAGCAATACTTCAACAGCAACTACAACACCTCCAACATCAGCACCAAATGGTAGAAATGCAACTCTCTCTCGATATCATGTGCCTCCACAACCGCATCCGCAAAAGCAATTACAGTCACAACAACCCCAGCTTCAAGGTACGCAGGAACATGGTAATGAGCGCAAACGAAAGAGGTCACTATCGCCAAAAGAGTAAATGACCAGGTACAATATTTCTGTTTCAAGTAGATATAAATTTCTAGAGACATTGGGACTGATGAAGAACCTGTGAACGATTTAATTATCAAAATACCCCCAATTAGTGATAATGCAAGTAACTTCCAACTCTTAAAAGATGTTATTAAAAAGAACGTTAAGAACGACTTCACAACCAAACAGGCGAAATACGCTATTAAAATATAATTTACTTCCATATGTGATTAGAAAAGTTTTAGAAAATTTTGTGAAACTGAGAAAATTGGATTCCATTCTTTTAAAGATCCTTCAGTAAAAACGTTAGCCATTGTAATGAAGGACATTCCCACTACGTACTCGGAAGTACTCCAGGCAGTGACATACTCCAGGAACTGACAAGACTAAAATTTCCAGTAATTAAAGTAGCGAAACTTCATAATAAAGACAAATGCCATATACCTGTACGTGCAATTTATTTAGAAAATACTTATCAAAGTAAAGAATTTTTCAAACTTAACCGCTTTTTATACATTGTTGTCATAATTCAGAGAAGAAAGTCTCATGTAATCCAATGTAAAGTTAGAGATTTGGGCATTCCAGGCAAATTGTGACCTGCAGCCTGTGTGTCAAATGTACCCGTCACTACTTCAAGTGTACCAAAATTAAATCCCCTAAATGCGTAAATTGTGTTTACGAACGTACTTCTAACTATAAAGGCTGCAGTATGTATAAAACGGCAGCAGATCCAATGAAAAAGTTAAAAAAACATAAACCCACCTTTTAACATGTCCTATCAAACCAATACTTATTCTAACAATGTACCCAATAGACAAGTACCACCACATCCTAAATTTCATCCTAATCAAAATCTTAATAGACAAACAAAGTTTATATTCATCATTATTCAAACAGGATCAATCACATCTAATTTCAAACATCGTATCACAAGTCATGTTAGCGCTCACTCCCAAAATAGAAAATACAGTAAAGTCTGTTCTGGCATATTTGAACTATGCCAAATAAAATAACTGATATTAATCTTTTAAACTGGCATGCCAATGGACTGAAACGCCAAGAAAATGAATTTAGATATTTTTTAAAGAAACATGAAAGTGGATTGGCTTGTGTAATCGAAACCTATCTAATTCCAGGAGAAACGTTTCACTGTCAAGAATTTAGAATTTTTAAAGAAGACCCAAGTGCCAAAAAGCATCAGGTTGCGTAGCACTAACAGTAGCTAAAAACATCGAATGCAGCCAAGTATCTACGCCGTTATCTCCGAATGTAGAATCAATTGGAATATAAGAAAAGTATAGCGTTAATAGTAATAATAAGAATAACAATACTGTTACGACTACTACAACTACAGCTAGAGCTGGAGCTAGAGCTAGCAATAGAGCTAGAGCTAGCAATAGAGCTAGAGCTAGCACTAGAGCTAGAGCTAGAGCTAGAGCTAGAGCTAGAGCTAGAGCTAGAGCTAGAGCTAGAGGTACGCTGGTTTCTAGCCTAAATGGCAGACTACTATGACATAGGGATATGTTGATCCCACGGTATGACATACACACTATGTGATCAAACGTATCCGGACGCGTGGTTGGAAATGATTTACCAGTTCGTGGCGCACTCCATCGGTAATGCTGGAATACAAGACCCTTGATGACAGCATCCACTCTCCCAGGCATACTTTCAATCAGGTACATGAAGTATTCTTGGGGAATGGTAGCCCAATCATCATGAAATACTGCACTGGGGGGAGGTATCGATGTAGGTCGGTGAGACCTGACACGAAGGTAGCGTTCCAAAACATCCCAAAGGTGTTCGATAGGTTTCAAGTCAGGACTCTGTTAAGGCCAGTCCATTCCAAGGATGTTATCGTTGTGTAACCACTCCGCCACAGGCCGTGCAGTATGAACAGGGTTCGATCGTGTTGAAAGATGCAATCGCAGTCCCCGAATTGCTCTTCAACAGTGGGAAGCAAGGTGGTGTTTAAAATATCAACGTAGGCCTGTACCGTGATAGTGCCACACAAAACAACAATGGGTATAAGCTCCCTCCGTGAAAAACGCGATCGTGACAACACCATTTTGGACGTGTTCGGATACTTTTGATCGCATAGTGTATCTTAATTGTAAGGCGATTATGTGAAAAATAGTGCAGCTCACACTCACAACACAATAAATGCAACTGCTACAATAACTATTTTACACGTTTTTTAGACATAGGGAGACCTACTTTCTTGATCCACCTCGTAGTTGCTGTTTTGTTAATTATGATTTGACCTAATATAATATCTAAACCGACGGAATTAATTAAACTGAAAAACTGCACTTTTTCGCAAGAGTAGTTCGGAAAATCAAAGTTAAAATCTCTGCACACAACTGCTTTAAATTGATTTAAAATACAATTGATTATAAATGATTACTGACTTTACTTGCTCATCTGTGTATTCTCTAAGAACATGGAGTAATCTATGATCTCCTTTTTGAAGTCTTGTATGTTACAAGATAACTCTGTGTCCTTGTGGGAAGGAAAATGAGTTCAAACATCTCCATGAATTCCCACGCTTTAAATAATCTGTATCGAAACAAGTAACAAATTAAGACTGAATACAGTAATACACGAGCTTACGCGTATCTCCGCGCGGGGATTCGAATCTTATGAAATAGCAAACACTTGTATTAATTTGTTAAGGGACACACGTCATTGCATTCTTCTTACTCCAACATGTCAATTTACAAAATTGTTCAACTCACGGAGAATATGCTAATAAGATATAGAACCTTACAAAGGCCAATTTTACGTTGTAACAGGCCTCAATAACTCCTGAACTTGGTTTGCTCGCCAGCTGGATTGACCTCGGATGCGACAAGAAACCCATTTTTGACAATAACGTACCTCTCGTTTGAGATGTATGAAGTTGTGTCAGAAGTTATCACAAACAATAGGCCTTCATTTGGTTGAAAATAGTGCAGCACACACTCACAAATCAAAACAATTTTTAAAATTACCTACTTCATAAATTCTTTATTGGACATTATTTATATAAAATAAAAGATAATCGGAAATTTCACCCATATTTTTCAGTAAGTGAAAAAAACTATATGTTTGCATAAATAACATTTGATTAATAATTCATACTGATGCTTTTATATAAATCTTACATACGGCTGCAAAAATAATATTAGCAAACGAATTTTAGTAGTGGTGGTAAGAAGGGTAGCATGTTAAATGTAAATTTTTAATTAAATTATTTTATTATTATTAAAAATGTATTTGTAGAAATAATATAAAATGTATTCCAATGAGTAAGACTTTCGGAAATGTAATTAACACAGAAAAAATTTTTATCGCACCATTCACAGAGAATAATATGAGATTTTCCACATCCATCACATGCGTTGAAATACAAGAAAGTGTAGTTTGATGTAATCGCGTTGTTGCAAAATGACTTCATTATTAAGGCTCTCACAGATCGGGGCGGAAGACGCGCAGCAGGTGCGGCGTGGAACGCTCCGCGCTAGACGCGGTGGCGGAACCGTTCACCCCAGAGCGTCAATTATGACTCATCGTTTGGTGACAGTTTTCCACATCCAAAAACAAAGGCAAGGGGAACCCGATCCAGAGGGGAGCGAAGATTCCCGAAGATTTCGCGGACTTCCTCGAATCTCGAGCGGCAGCGTTCGAAACGCGTCCGACTGCGTTTCAAAACTGCAGGCAATCCACTGCCGCGCAGGTCTGAACTTGGTCATACGGTAACACGTGACGCGAAATTCCCACTGCTGTTATTCCGCGTAAGCTGCGGGTCTTCCGCGCCGATCTGTAGGGAGTCTTACGTTGTGAGCCAGGTCACAAATCATATGGTGATATAGAGAGATTACTACAAGAAGGCACCGCTTTGACTGCTACTGTTTGGCTATTGCTGGCAAAATAACTGCAGGTGAAGTTCATGCATTCAATTCGTCAATAATTTCAATTACAGTTAGCTCGTTTGTATATGGCTTCCTCACTAACACTTACAAAGCCATCGCCCTACATGACGTGTATTTGTTCACCGACCTGTCAAACTGGTGCCTTCTTAGAGTAATTCCTCTATACATAGCAAAACGTTCAGATCGCAACACTAAAACACAGCTGTAACGCTACACACAGATTACCACAAAACCTTGGCAACTTCTCAAAGGCTCTTGCATTCTTATCCTTACCAAATGTAATGGCATTACTCCTGGCTCAATCTTATGGCGATTTCCGTATTTTCGAAGGCGTTTGGCAATGCAATATAGCTTTCCATGCAAAATTTATTTGGGGGAGAATTTGAGACGTCTTTTTCCATCTCAACTTTTTATTTGTTTCTGTAACACTTTCAAAACTCGAGAAAATATTTTTTACCTCTTGGGAAATACCCTTAAATATATTTATTAAAATATTGGATTCACTCTGCATTGTCTCTAACTTTATAGGAAATTAATTTTGGTCGATGTAATTTATGATCTTGGTATAAACTGCATTTTGACAGGTCCATCAGGAAAGAGGAGAGTACTATAAACTTGTTCCAAAGGTTTAGGATTCGTGTAACATATACGGAACTTTCGCAAGATTGAAGATAGGACGATATAAAGATCTTGCTCTGCAAACCGCCGGCCTGAAAAAGATAATCAATTTTGTGATAATCCATTAAACCATAACAATAACAACAACAACTATAATAATAATAATAATAATAATAATAATAATAATAATAATAATAATAATACCGTACAATACAGGTAAGATAGAAGCCAAAGCAGGCTATTGAAAAGTGCATTGATCAGTTGTCAGTCGCACTTCACTTCACTTCACATACAGGCTACAGTTTTTTTGCTTTGGTATTACGCTTTGAATTAAACATGACTGCAGATTCAGCTAGCACTGTCACCGCACGTACAAGCACATTCATTATATATCTTGTTCTAGTTATTTGTTTCATAAAACGTCGGACACTGAGGGAGCGAGAAACTTTGAAAACTGGCTGGCAGGTAAAGCTGTTGCCAAGTCTCTAATTGTTCTGTTACATAAGGAAATACTTGCCAAGGATCTGAATTTTGTTTCCTTGCTCGATTTTGTGGGTGTGAGCCACTTCGCCGAAATAGATTTGGTTTTGGCTGAATTAATTGAATTTCTTCCAAGGTCTGGTGTGTACTAGCGGTAGGGCATTTATAAAGGCGCCAGCCTCGCCTTTGTTCTTGCTGCCGTTTCTAGAGGTTCACATAATTTTTGGTTTTTTGGCGTTACTTCTGTAGGGGTCAACGGGGTTATTTTCGCTTTTCTCTGTATTCATCTATGACTTTTTTCCGGTGGCGGCGTCTGTATGGGATCGCAACACGGCAACTCCGTGATGTTCCCATGAGACGGGCGACCAGCGAGTAAGATATGGCTAATGTCTTTGGCGTTTGGCGAAGAACTTTTGCTTTAGTATCGGCTTCAAAATGGAAAAGACTCCCACGTTTTTCTATGTTGGATTTAATGCATCTCCCAGCGCTATTTACTAATCGGTAGATGAATGCCTAAATACTTGCGATGATAGACTCTTGTGGGATGATTAACGCTCACCTAAACGAGTAGTCTGAGTTGCCTCATCATATTCGCCCGGCGTCCGATACGTTATTTGTTTTGCTTTAGATCCTATTAATTCCTATGGTCATTTTTTTTCAGGCGCTCAATCAGCGTAAATGCTCTAAATCTGCTGTAATATTTGTTCGTCAGCGTTCTATTCTTTGGTTTTTCGAGTTATATAGGACACAATTCGTGCTAGCAATAAGACGCATCTTCTGATTGATGTTCACCTGGAGATCGTTCACATACGTCTGAAGGAAAAGTATGGTATTGGCGCTCACTACTTCCTGTGGAGGACGGCGTGAAGGTACATTCCCCGTAGTCGAAAACTGATGTGGCAATTCGGAACTTTTTGTTTCCTGTCTAAGAGATTTCGCTTATTCCACCTCTAGCAACCTAGGGATCAACTCCTGGTGAGGTTAAGTACTGTTAACTAATAAGTAAGTTATGGCGGTACCCAGTTGTACGCACGTCGGAATGCTTTCGCGAAGGTCGATTACAGAGCTGGGATCACCCTCCACCCGCGTGCAACTTACGGTCAGGGCTAGATCGTTGAAAGAGAAACAATTTTGCTTTGGCGGGCGGAATGTTCACTTCTAAACCCATGCTGTCGATGGAAAGATCCAGTTCGCCTTCTCGCATTCGCGACGTAATGTACGCGCTATTAAATGTGCTCCATTATTTTGCATATCTACTCGATGTGAGGGATAAGCAGTCTATAATTAGCATTAGGCTGTTCTGTTTTGTCTGCACCAGTTTTTGAAAATTTGGACGCACTATAGCTGACTTGCCAATCGTCTGGTAAACTTGCATTATGTAATGTAAATATTGGAATAATCTTAACAAATAGGGAAATATCGGCTCCACACTGAGTTTCAAGTAAAATCTGTCGAGATAGCCGGTCTGGCCGCGCGTGATTTACGTTTGCAGTGATTTTAGTCGCGAGTTGGCGGAGTTCCATGCGTGGAGTTTGAATGGGTTTTACTGGGAAAATAATGAACTTGCTCCCTGCGCCCGTTCTGTGTTTGAGTACCGATACGAAATACGCGGTTGAACGCATTTTGCTTTGCTGGTCGTCGTGCAGTGGCTCGTTAACTCCGATTCGAATTTCCTGAATTTCTTCTTATTCCCCGGCGCCTGCGGACATATTTGTAAAAGCTTGACAATTATTTCGTGCGTCTCCAAATAGTGTTTCTTAAATAATTCATGGAGCAATTTTCTTTTCTTTTTCTAATTCCTTGTAGTATTTTTTAAACGTGATCATGTCAGCAATGCTGCGATGTCTCCTATTAAATGCTAGCCTAACTTTTCTCTTAAACGTCGTAATTGCCCGTTAAAGTATTCAGGATCAGAATTACTTTTCAGTATTTTGGCAAGGAACGTAGCGTATCTAAACCGGTTTCTACGATTGTTTGTAAAAGCTCCCATATGCTCGATTCCCTCCTCTGTTCTTGGAAATTATCGTATTTTTCTCTTAAGAAACTACGTAGTCCTTCAATGTTCGCTTTTCTATATTGGCGTTGACTGATCGTTCGCTTTTCCCTAGGTCGCTTAAGGTTACATTTACCTGCACTTCTACCATCACTGTTTGTGGTCGCTAATTCCCTGAAAGACTTCGCAGGAAAGGAACATTTCTGCTAGATAAACAATGAAAATGTCCAAAATTGCTCCCAGCCGCTTGGGTTTGTCGACTGTTTACCTGCGTTAATCTCTGCTCCCAATAATAATAATAATAATAATAATAATAATAATAATAATAATAATAATAATAATAATATATCCATAACCTCAACACATCCAGCGTATAGTAAATTTCCAGGCTCTTAATCAGTTGTTTAAGATAAATGCTAAGAGATTTTAAGGCAATTTGACTCAAAATACGACGGACAATGCTGTCCCTTCTACAAAAGGAAAAAATGTAGGTATTTTGGGAGGAATCTAGGAAGAAGAGTGAACCTACAACAGGCGGATTGTAGCTACAGTCTGATGTTGATGCCGCAGTTGAAAGTCTGGAAATAGTCGATCATTTTCAGGAATTGACGCCGCCGCCGATGATGATATTTAAAGTTTAAAAACTTCTCAACACTTAAGGTCCTGGGCACCCGTGTCAAATTATCGTAACAACATAAAAGCAATAATAGTGCCAAGCTGTAATGTTTTAAAATACTAAGTAATGCCTAAAAAACGAACTGTGAACAATCATGTCCAGCAGTAAAACTAAAGACCCGGCAGGAAAAGAGTGGGATGAGCACTATAATTTGGTGAATAATATCCATGTTAATTAGCATAATCTTCCTCTCAGATTAAACAGCAAATTCCTAAATTAAAAATATGTAGAGGCTTCGTCGTTACGAGGGCGGTAAGATGCTATGCCTTGAAAAGCGAAATAGCAATGCTTTTGTCGGCTGTCTCTTGCCATACCACAGTGGACGGCAGCACGCTCCACGTTAACGTCTGTTCCGCATTTATTGCAGATAAAGAGGGGCCACCGCTTAGAAAGCATCCCTGAGAGAAGTGGCAGTGTCCGATCCCAAGGTGTAGATGAATGATCTTGCGCCTAACACGACGGGATGTGGAAGCCCAAGGTTTTAGTAAGTCCTTGATCCTTCCCAGTTCTGCCACTGAATGTTTAATTAAAAGCTTTCGTATCTACCTTAAAGATATTTATCTCTGGTATCTTCGTGGCACATTTTGTCTACTCAGCTATTTCATTTCTAGTTATTTCCCTTCCACCTATAATTGTTTTGGATCTTCGTCAGTTTCAGTGGAGAAGTCTTTGTGATTTATCCTAACCTTTTAGAGGTTTAATGTAAGGTAATCTAATACCCGAACCTGGAGGTTGGCCATTTCGTTCAATTTTGGAAGCTTTTGTATTTGTTCGTAAGATCGACACCTGAAGACAGTTTCAGTGCGCTCACGAACCACCGCCTTTAACTTTTCGCCCGACCCATTCCTTCACATTATTATCATACTACTGTGCTACAAAATATAATACCAAGGTCACGTTCATCTGGTGTCCTAGATACATATGTATTCGAAGTGGGAACTGTAAGATTTTTTTTTATTCTGTTACTTGCGTAACAACGTTCCCAGAAATTTTGGCATTGATCGCGGAGTAATTCTGTGCTAAGATGGCAAAATGAAATAAGTTATTTTTTCATTACATGAAACACAAAATGACATAAGTCACTCGTGTGTTAATGTTTAGAAGTAAGCAAAATGTGCATTTGTCTTGTAGTTTATGACAAAACAATATATGGCAAATTGCAAAGAGACAAAAGCCACATAGTAAATTTTCAAGACATTTTAATGCTTAAAATTGCTGTAATGGAACATTTTAAAAACGTGGCTGTAACATTTTGACGTCTTAGCATATATTTCTCCTTTAACATTGTCAGTCACATGTCAAATTAAGTCGTAAGTCATTGCCTTTTACCCCTATCGGCCAGGGGCTTAGCGCCATTAATATCTGGGATTCCCAGATATCACCAATCCGGGGACTCGCGGACTCGAGCTGGTTTACTTCCATGACTTCACGGAGCTTGGTAGCTTGGTTAAAGAATTCGGCAGGCAGATTAGTTTTATAAACTGTAGACCTAGTGCCCTCTTCAAACTTAGAACCAGACGAGGTGTGAAAGGCAACCTTAAAGGTCTTGGGACCAACTAGACTGAGACCAACAATAAAATTCCTGTAAGCAGAATATATCTCCTATATGATTTATTTATTCATCGTCAAAACAGTTAGCAAACTGTGGGACACACTATGGGGAGAAGTGTACTACTCTTTGTACGTTTTCCTAAATTCTGGGATCCCTAAATACAGGTGGATACAAGGGGTTTTGGCAAATATTCTTTCCTATGTAATAAAAACTATTTGGAAAGCCTAATCAGCTATACTGCGATTTTTCTAACTCTGCCCCTTAATGCCCTACTTCAATGGCATTATGTCACTGCATTTCGTGTCTTTCTCGCTCGTGCCGCTAGATGCGGCATGATCGCGACTGTATCCAGCACTGCTTAACGTTCGCGATCACGTGACATCTACCGGACCGACAGAGAAAGACGCGAATAACAGTGACATAATAAATGAAATAGGGCCGTGAATAGGGGAGTGAAATAGGGCCAGAGCCCTTGAGAGGCAGAGTAATATAGTAGCTATTATCGCAGTATAGTGGCTATTATCCCTCATCGTGTCCTTTGTGGAGCAATCGACGTATTGCTGCGATAACATGGAGAACGATAATTTGAGTAACTATTCCCCAATGAACTCAAGAAAACGTGCACCGATAGTTAAGATACATTTACGTTCAGAAGCAAAACAAGGGCCATCGCAGTATTCGAAAGATCAAAGAAACTCGACGATAAACCTGATAGAGATAAAGGTTTAAACCCTTCGATTTGAATTGTAGGCTCGACATGATTAAATTTATAGCGAACAGGTTAAATATTCTAATTGCTGAGCTTTTACATTCAGTGGGAAAAATATCAATATAATAGGCCTATTGCATTCCAAGTACATGACTACTCACCAGCACATGTTCGTGTCCCATGTCCAAATGGGGTCATGATGAATGGGTGTATCGATGCTTGTTCATGATTTCTTATCCATCTTTCTGGTAGAAATGTATTTGCATTTTTAAAGTATTTTTCAGAGGAAAAATGAACATTCGGTGAAAGATCTAGACGGCTCTGAAACAGATGCCACATTTGAAGTTTCCTGCCAAATATAAACCTTTCAAGAAAAGAAAAATTATAATGCACATACTCCAGTTGGAACCTCATAGCCAGAGAGAATTAAATCTTTCTGTGATATTCTTGATACTTCTGTTCCTACTGGGAAGAACCTGAAAATATATTTTTTCTCAATAATAGTCTGCCCTTAATAATAACATAATAAAGCAGATTCTGAGAATCTCCTCAGTAGGCCTACTGATTAGCTAATGACAGAAATAGGATTCTGCAAAATACAATCAGATAATTTCATTGCATCTGACTGCATAATAACACAAAATGCCAAAGTATAAATGCTCTCTAAACTTATTCTTATAACATACTTATTGCTTACAAATCTTATTTCGATCACTTGTCATCAAAGACTTTTACACATTGAACTGGCACCTTCACTCTTAGAACGATATTTAATAAATGAAAATGCTCAATATAACAGCTACATCACAAATTGACCACCTATGATTATTTTTTATTATTTACCCTGAGCTCATTTCCCATTACTAATTGACACTACGGATAGTTACTATATGTATATATATTTTTGAGTCTTGAGTTATGGAATGAAACTTTTTGGATATTCTTGATAAGTAAAGAACTATTGTACTGTTTATATGTATTATACTATGTTATTGCAGTATTTGTGCAGACTTGTTTTTAGTAAAATAACTTATTGCAGTGCTGTATGAGAGTATTTTATTTGTTCTTCTTGAGCAATGTGTGTGTTACATATTGGAAAACCATTTTGTGTGATATCATTCAGCAGCATTTCTGCTGCTGCAGGCCATTAGTTATTTCTTACTTTTAATTACAGAAAAGGTCAATGGCTCTTGAATTTAATGGTAACAAAATTGATAATTAAAATTCCTAGCAAATAAAGGATGTAGCACGATTGACCATGATGAAATGTTAAAATTAATATTTGCATTTGTTATTTAATTAAAATCTTTGAATTATAAAAATTTAAATGACTTTTTCATTTGGTTTCAGGCCCAGGGTGAACCACCTCAATATTTCCTCTAATTATTCTCTTGGTGAGTATTTTATGAGTAATTACCCCTTCTCCCACCACCACAACTGAAAATAGATAAAATTCCATTTGGATTTTGAAAAAGGCATAAATACATTTATTAATTGATAGCAATTTATTACACAATAATGTACTACACTGAATACAAAATATATTAATATTCATTGAAATTTCATAACTTGATGAATTAATTGATTGATTGTCAGTTAGTGGGGTTTTCCCAATCCAGATACCTCCCACCAGCAGGGCACCATCCCAGACAGGACAAGCTCTAAGTTCCTGACTAGTCTCTCAGCATGTGCGGTAATGTAGTTCGTGTGTGTGCATAAGTAAGGGGTCAAGAATACGACAAGGATGAGGAAGGAAAGATCGTGGGAAGTCCGTGGCCCATTTCTTAGAATACTGCTTCTGCATTTGCCTGGTATTCATTAAAGAAAGCCCAGAAAACTACCAATCACACCAACCAGCTGCTAAAATTCTCCTCCAGATAGTAACAGAATTCATCCTAACCATCTAGCGAATGTTAAAAATCCGGCCACAGCCGGGACACGAACCTAAGACCTATTGATCATTGATGAATTAAGTTTTATTTCGTTTTTATGGGACAGTTTTACTTGATTTTATGTCTTAACTGTAAAATGAAATTAATTTATACAACTTATTATTCAAAACAATGTATGTACAGTCACAAAAGCCAAAGTAGCAGTTGTGATGGAAGTTAGTATTATTTCATTTGTTTTAGTAACTACTTTTTGCAATACTCTTACAAAGTCACTTAGTTCGTTTTTAACTTGTATTTGGTTTGTGCAATAAGCATCTTAAAAACATAGTTTATTAACTATGAAATACCCACTACCTGAATGTTTCCTTGACGATGGCTTTTAAATAAGAGAGATCATTTAAATCATCAGCAGTTATTTTTTCTTTGTTCCCAATGACATCTATGACCTCCCTAAAGGCTTTTTCTTGGACCTCGGGATTTGTAGCAAGGCAGTATAAGTTATACAAAAGGGCCGGAACAGTCTGAATTAACAAAACAATGAAACTTTGTATTAAATATAGTGTGACAAGACCTTATTACTATCTTATTATTTTATTTTAAAATCTTTTGCTCCAATTTTTTAATAATTTTATCTCAAAAGTACTACCAAAAATATTTGCTCGTTCTAATAAATATGATCACAATCTTGTAAACAGGAAATTAGTTTATGTATTTGTACTGTAAAGCTAATCTTACACTATTCTGATTTAAGATCCACAAAAGTTTATGTAATGATTTGTAGAAAGAAATTATATTGAATTAAATGGAATTCATCAATCTATAACGCACTCTGAGATAATCTGATAAAAATGTTGGAATTATTGGTATTAATGATTTACATGTATCATTTCCATTTTTAATCAAAGAATCATTATTCAAATTAATCCATTTAGGCAATAAGGAATAATTAGTATTGATTGAATGATACATACTGTTGAAAGTCCATCAGTAAATAAGGAAAATGTAATAATAATAACATCTTGCATACTTAGTTCTTCTCTACAAAGCAGGTATGTCATGAAATTGTATTTTCCATGAAGGGATTTGTTCTGACTTATTTCAGACTCCACTTTTTTCAAAGCTCTTTTGATGTATGATAAAGCATTCCTTAAATAAATTGGTAAGAATTAACTTATAAACTATCTCTAGTATGTTATTTAAGCATAATAAGGCCATGTTTTTGAACATGCATAATTAAAGTTTTTCGATTAACTTATTACCATCTTAGTATCCAAAAATTGGTGTACTTTGCAACAAAGATTTGGTTGCTATAATCTAATACCTAATTGTAAGTAACCATTGCCACATATTTACTCATATTCAATCACCTGTAAAAGTAATCTTCAGCCAACAGAAGTTTCCTCCATTTTGGTGTAGATATATATTTATACAATGGTAGAGAAAATTTTAATTGTGCAGATATTTGAAAAATCCTTAGATTTGCCTCGAACATTGCTTCACTTTTTACTTCTGTTTCTCCGCCACTCATGCAGCCCAATCTTTCTTCAAAACAAACATAACCTGCCGCTAAAAATCATGCAAGTTACTTAACTAGCTCCTCACATTAAACTGCTTCAGAATGTACCCAAAATCACTTGCAAATAAATTAATTATTAATACACAGTAAAACACTAAAAATTATGTGAAATGAAAATTGTTCTGTAAATATATTTGCATGTCAATATACCCTATTGGCGTAATTATAGATTGAGTTGAGAAGTACATACATTCCATACTCCACTTTCCTACTTCCTTTGTTAGGTCATGTACTTTTCCATCAAAATTTTTCTTTTCCTCTATTCTTTGCACAAAATCATTTGCAACTTCTTGAACAAATGGCAAATAATAATGCACTTCTGTTGGTCTTAGCATCATTTTTCTTATTGCACTTCGTAATCTATACCATTCTTCCCCATTTCTAAATATGTAATATATTGACATTAGAATAAAAAAATAACTACAGGACCTGCAGATAGACTATTAAACATACTTACGTATTACCTAGACCTAAAGACATATTATGCTTTTCTCTATAAAGCTTTGATGTATCAAGAAGTGGGGCTACATGTGGAGTATGGCCTTCACTTCTATAAACGGTTTGAATATCTTCTGGATCAAATACATGTATGGTTGTAATATTTCCAAGATCTTGACGCACTAATGGCCCATATGAAGCATAAAGCTCCCTTATTGCTTCATGGTATTTCTTCACACTGTACTTACCTATTAAAAATGAAGTGCACATGTTATATTAAAAGGGCAATTCCAAAAGCACATGAATGAAAGGAAAGGAGTCTCATATGAAAGGAAACTTTTAATTTTTTTATCACGCTGAGATTAATATTAAAATTAAATATTGTTTAGGTGGCATAGGAAGAGTGCACGTTGTTATGAAATTTTTTAAAAGCATTGAGATGCTTAATATATTATGAGAACAACTATTTACAATAGCCAGTCCTTTGCAACGTATCGTTACAGTAAAACCTTAAAGTATAAAATCAATCACAAATATATAATTTCAATTGTAAAATATTAAAAGGTTATTAATGACCCAGTTGTCGACACAACTATAAATATGTGTATAAAGAAAATAAAAGTAATGTATTTTTTTAACAATTTGAGACACTTGTGGACATTTAGTTGCTGAGTCCAAATAAAGATGTAGATATTAAAAACAATAATTTGCAACACTGAATTCAGAAACTTTAGTTAGCCATTGTTATTAATCCTAATTTCATGACATGATTTGAAGTTAATGTATGGAAATACATTTTGCAGAATATGTCTGTAGTACATTACCAAATACCTATTCTTTTAAATGACATTGCCTATAATGATCATTTTTTAAATGATTAGCAAAGTTTTACTTTGTTACAAAAAATGTCTCTATGCATTTGAATGAATTATTTATGAAGTTTTAAATAATTTATTCAAAATAGATATATATTGTGTTCCTGGTGTTAAAAACTTTAAAGGCCCAAACAAATTTTTTAAATATATAAATACACGTAGACATATCATAGCCGTTAAGTACAATAAAACTTAAGACTATAATTTTATATACCAAATTTATATAGATGTAGGTTTCCTATGAGAGGAATTCTTGATGGTCCTGGAATATCAGCAAATGATTTAATACCTTTTTTTAAGGCCATTGCAAGTTCTTCACAGAAGAGAAATCTGAAGAAATGTATATATTATTTTAGAAAGAAGTTTGACAAACATTAGAAATAAAAAAAAGTTATATTCACATATATTATTCACATAACATAAATGTTGAGAAATTACATATTACATACATTGAAATTAGTTTTGAAGTAGAGTAGTAGTAGTAGTAGTAGTAGTAGTAGTAGTAGTAGTAGTTGTTGTTGTTGTTGTAGTGGTGGTAGTAGTAATCGTAGAATAATTACCAACTTCTAATTACCTACAACATTATCAAAATACTAGTTCTTTCTGAAAACTGCTGTACTCACAATGGTTAGTCTCTGGCATGCAAACATACTTCAATATTGCTTTTTAACTTCGAAAGTTTCACACGCTCCCGAACCATAGGATTGGTGAATAATGCTGCGTTTTATCTTTGACCTTTGACCGTTTTTGAGGTCAAATAATTCAGTGTCCAGGAAAATAAGGTTATATCAATATTTTTAAATGCTTTATTCATTTCAATTTTCCTTAATGTCCAAGGGTATACGTCGTTTTAATATTATTTTATCGAACTTTTAAAACAAGTTTTCAAATATCGTGAGTGTGCGATGAGTATTTGACGGTATTCCTGGATCCTTGGGAAAGAGGTGTCATTCTGCAGGGCGAAAAAGATTCTGTGGTTTTAATGTATAATTTAGGGATACTCAGCAAGCTGTTCTTATGAGACTTAATACTCTTCTTTCTATCCTTTATCCCTTTTCTGTGCAACGTATTTTTTTGGCGCGCTAAGAGCTAAGAAGGGTCCAGCGGGTGAGGGGGGTGCTTTTAAAGATTTTCACCGACAAGTTTTGCACAGGAGGCACTGACTTTGTTTTCTACTTCTTTCTCAAGGACATAGGAAATACTTTTTGGAAATTTGTTCGTTTTTCTGAAAGTGCACCCAAAAATTTATGTGATTGTTATGTGACAATTTCCAGACGGCGCTCATTTTCTTCCAATTTGTACACAAACCGTAACCTTTGCTACAAAAACAACAACGAACAATCTTCTGATTTCATATCCTTTTACATTTCCTTCTGGACTGAAGTTCCTCGAAATCCCTTTCACTTATATACCATATGTATTTAGCAGTGCCAGATTACCGAACAGGCTGAATAGGTTGCAGCCTGGTGCGCACACTTTTTTAGGGCGGACGAATTTCAGCAGATGTAAAATTTAATAAGACGAACTTTTGAATGTTTTTATAGAAATATTTCTTTCCATATTTGTAACAAAAGAAAGTGTTAATTAATCAAAAATATATGAATTGATATTCACATATAAAATGAATACAAGATATGTTAAATAAATATAGCGGTGATAATTATTTATACGTATACGAATATTGATTATTATTATATTTATACGTACACAATATTTGCATAGGTTACAAATATCGCAAAATGTTTTTTATTCAAATTATTATAAATTGCTTTAATGCTATAATAGAAAATTTTTAAAAAAGTTCGCTAAAACATTTGACAGCCTAGGGCGCACATAAATCAAAGTTAGGCACTGGTATTCAGCGTCTTCACCCAAAATATAGTAGTCATCAACGATTGCTGCTTCTATTACCTATGTACGTCCGAGTTGGTCCACAATAACTAATCGGAATACATTTGTATGCAATTTCTGTGTAATTTACTTCGGCTTTCCGTCACTTGATAAAATGGTACTATGATGAATAGAAAACTTCTTGTGCTACAACAGAACATATTTTCTCGCACTATTCATAACATTTTCAATTTTCTAAAATTCAGAGAATTCGATGTAAATATGACTTATACCATTTTTATAAGCATACTTCCCACTATCCGAAACACATTATGTATTTTAATTTTTTTTTGTTTTACAGAAATTTTTTTTTAAATCGGCTTTATTTCTCGCAAACTTATACGAGAACTACTCATATTTTGAAAACAATCTATATGACATTATTTAAAGATCTATTTTTTAAATGATTAGCAAAGTTTTACTTTGTTACAAAAAATGTCCTCATGCGTTTGAATAAATTATTTATGAAGTTTTAAATAATTTATTCAATATATATATTAATATATATATATATATATATATATATATATATATATATATATATATATATATTATATATTGGGTTCCTGGTGTTAAAACTTTAAAAGGCCCAAACAAATGCATTCAGGAGAAAAAGCTCCATCTTCAATATTGTAATTGTAAAAGACGTCGAAAAATGTGAAAGTTTCGCAAATTTTGAAATTTCAGAGAATTCAACGAAAATCAGACATGCCACATTTCTATAACGTATATACGCTATAGTAGCAGTATTTTTCGTTATCAGATTAAAAAATCATCCAAGAGTTTTGAGAAATTTTGGAGAAAATTTTCAAAACATCCTTGTGATTTCAGAAAAGTACTCCCAAACTTTTTTTTTTTCAAAATCAAGGGGCCGCAACATCAACCAGATCGATCTGGAAATTTCAATAGAAAATCCTTCTTACGTTTTAGCTCTAGTTATTCACAGAAGGTAAGACGTCTTTTCGTGAACAATTTTTTCGGTACCTAGGATTCACAAAACATGGATCTTGACAACACAATTTTCTATATGCTACATTAAATAGCATACACTTCCCACTTAAAGTCGTGGTAAATGAGTAATTTCTAGGCATTTTAGAATCCAATGGGTTCCCTAGACTTCCCCATAGGACAATGAAGTTTCTTTCCTGCATTTACTACCAGCAATGCTAAATCGCTCCATCGTAATTCACAAATTGTGTGTAAAGTTTAATGGAGCTTCTGAGAGCAATTAACGAGATAGTCAGTAGATCGCCTCGAGACGTGATCCCCAGGGTCTTAAGGGCACTGACTAAATTTTGGCATAGCCCCAGAGGTTCCAACAACCACTGGCAGGATTCTGGCGTTGGGTACTCCATGAAGTTGGGCTGCCAGGGGGATGACTGGTTCGTATTTTACATTTCCCTCCCCTGCTTTCAGAAGGCTAGACCCATCCTCGTGGCGGACAGTCACATCGTCCACGTGGACCCCTTCCCGGCTTTTTATTACCGGCTTTATTACCAGTTTGAGTCTAACCCCTTCGGCAACGGAGAAAGTAGACACCACGGTGTCCGATTTCCGGAGTATATTCCCTTCTATGAAGTTTTTGATCTCGTCATGACGCTTTATTCTTGTTGGCTTCGTAAAAATGTACTAACCGAGGATGTGATTCATGGTTTCTACCGCTGTATTGCACTTCCTGCGGTATACATCCTCTCTGGGCCTTTTCTCTACTAAGAGTAGTTTTATTGGCAGCGGTATTTGATCTCAATTGGAGTGCAGTGATAAAAAGACCAGGTTTCTGAAGATGATAATCTGTCAAAAAGGCGTATATAATCGGATCGTTTATATGCGCCCTAACCTCTCTCCCTTGGGATCCCAGTTTCTCCCAGGCGGCTACCTCGTCATCGGTACATTTCTTCTTACAAGCCCTTAAATCTTGTTCAGAATAGGCCCAGTTGAGTCTCAGTGATTTTGCGGTCTTTAGTGTCCGTTGGTAAAAACTCGGACAGGAGCTCAACCATCTGCAAATAGGATCTCCAGATTTTTCTAATCCTAATCCTAGGTTCAGCGCAACTCTACGTGTTGGGCGAGCCGCAGCAATCCCAATCCTCCATCTCTCTTGGCCAGATAGAGTCCTCATCCATCTGCAGTACTCATATGCAGATGTAGAAACTTTTTGACTGTCACTCTGATTTGACCGTCCGCTTCCCTGCGCATCGACATTGATGGCATGGATAGTACCAATTGATAAAGGTAATGTGGCATTATGTAGGTATGAAGTAATGCCAACTTCTGAGTGGTCTTTAAATGCGTCTCGACACTGCTTCCATCAAATTCGATATGGATGCTTTAGATGGGAAGCCGTTCCAGATAGAGTAGTTCACGCCCAGGTATGTAAGAGTATGATCATTGCTGACAAGGCGAATTCTCGCCCCCAACCTTTCCAGACAGGGGTCCTCAATGAACCAGGATCGTTCAAAAGTTGTAATTTGAAATGATGAACATTTCGCGACGGACAATGTTATTCCGAGGGCCCCAAGATATTCCACCACAATATCAACCAATTCTTGAGCTCCCGGGGCATCTTTTGCTAACAGCACCAGATCGTCAGCAAATGCTAACACAAACACACTCCTTCCCAGAGCCCACCGAATCGCCGCGTGAGGAACAGTAATATATCTAGAACAACACCTACACCACCCTGTTTTTTCATGTCACTGACTGCTTCATGAAGAATTTGAATATTAGCGAAACAGCCAGGTTAAGGGATAAACCCTTTCTGGCGTGGAATGAACTTCACCGCGGATCGAATGCGTTTGTCCATAATGCTCCAAAAGATTCTGCACAGCAGAGAACTAATTGTGATGGGGCGATAGTTAGTGACCACCGTATTATCCTTACCCTCTTTTGGTATAAGGATGGTGCGATTAGTTTTCCACCCAGAAAGCACAAAGCCGCTGTATAAAATTTGGGTGTACAATAGGGACAATATTTCAATTTTTGCTCCTGAAGATATGTGGCTAACTTTTATCTTATCAGGTCCTGGAACCGTGGCATTTTTCATCCCAACCAGACGACTTTTAATTTCGGCAATTTGCACCGCGTATAATATTGTGTCTGGGTTCATTTCAGGTGTCAACAATTTATCACCCTCTCTTAGTTCGGAAAGCCGAATCGGGGGCGTGTTTCCTCAGATGGATTTGTACAGGTCATTAACCTCATCCCTGTTAAGGGGCTGTTTATCGACACTACTACTGTCAATGCCCGTTCTTATGCACTTTGCCAATCGCATGTGCATTAGACGGGCTGTTAGAGGAAGTATTTTACTGTATATAAGAAGTAAGTGGAGCTACAATAGTTGATACGTTTTCGCATTATTTGTAGCGGTCTGGCAAAATTGTACTAGTACGAACCCGCAAAAGTGTTTACAAGAAACATCTCTGCACTGAGTTTCGAATTCAGTTCCTTCGAGTAAACAGGTCAGCCACGTTACACCTACGCTATCACTCATGCGACTGGACTGGACTTTCCAGACGCTTAAAAAACTAGTGGCTTCTCGCAATGTTTCTAAGTTTTGCAATTTTCTAAAATTCAGAGAGGTCAATGAAAATGATATCCGAGTCATTTTCTCTAACCTACATTTGTTCTACAAGCTCAAAAAGTTAAAAAATGAATTTTGAGCCGTTTTGACGACAAAATTATAAATTGCATTAATTACAATTAGAAATTATGCAAAAACTACGACAGACAGTACAACTACTTGCACTAATTAGCAGTGCAATACGAATATCAACTAATGGTGCTAATTCAGCACATACTGCTTCGCATTATTTCTGGAACGTTTGCAATTTTCGACACCAAGGATTTCACCGAAAATGAGACATGCGCCATTTTTTACTACTACTCCTTTGTTGTGGAACAAAATAAAGAAAAATTTGTAGTCGCTTTTCAAAACGTTTTTTATATTCTTCAATTGTATTATTTTCAAGGAGAAATTACAAAAAAAACGTTTTCTTTTTTCAAAAAATTGTTCATGACCTTTTTTAAGAACGTATTTTTTTATTTGCCTTGACTATTCCATGTGAAACGAAAACTGTTATGATGCGCGCCCTTTTGAACTGGCGCGCAAGCGACCATGGCCTCGCACCAAATGGCCTCGCGCCGTGCAGTACGTTTTTAATTGGTTCCCCGCTTTAGTGACGCCGAAGTTTGATTCATTTTCTAGGTGCAATTTCCAGACGCATCAACTACTGTGGTAGTAAGTTGCGTAAGTCAGCGGCGAGACGTTCGGCCACCGATAGTTGCGCCGATGACCAAACAAATAATGAAAATTATGCATTTTCAATCTTCTAGAAAGCTGAATATTAGGACAAATCTACAGATATTTTAGTGATATTAGTAAAAAACAGCTGAGAAATAGCCTTGAGTTAACGCAGGGGGATCCAGAGACGAATTGGGGGGGGGGATTGTATGTCTTATGTATATACAAAGATAATATAAATTATAAAAAAACGTAAATTATTTATCATGCTTTTAACAAAATTAAAGTATTAAGTTTAATATTAATGAATACTTTATAATTTTTAATTTAAAAAATAGTAATAATTTGTTATTAAAATCGTTGAATTCAAAGCTGCAAACGACGAAGCATTAGGGTATTGCATTTTTTGTTCTATGATACCGATGTGAACAGAATACGAATAAAAACACATGATATCGATTTACATATTAAACATTCGCTTACATATAAACATTACTGTCCAGGACTGAAGAAAGTCGGCAGGATTTCACAAAATGTGTCTCAAGCATGTTCATGTTCTACTTTTTCCTTTTATTAGATTTCTTTCTCTTTTCTTCTTATTATTTTAGATATTTTCTTTCTCACCTTAAATATCTATTATCGCGCCGTCTCCAGGCGCATGTAAGCGGCCTATGCGCTATTCTTCCTTAAACACGTTTTCGGTATCAGGGGGATTCCAAAACGTGTATTTCTCTTGAAATCTCGAGATTTTTTCCGTGAAATCGATTTTCCGTATGTACATACGTATACGGAAAAGTAAAAAAAAACTAAAATTATTAATAAATCCATTAAATCTACTCCATCTTGTCGCACACAAATACACCTATCCCTCACAATTTTTTTAATCGAACAAACATCGTGGTATTTTTTTTCGCGGGGGTTATAGTCAGAATCAAAGACTTGGCTCTTGTTTCTCTATGTATTTCGACGCGCTGAATCTGAAGCCAGAATTGCGCCACCATCCTTCAGTTTTTTTTATTCGCGATCGTTAATACGAATTTTTATAACAAGAACACCGATTATTTCAGTTCCTTGGAATTCGTGGAAACTAGGATTTACTGTATAGTTATCCAGTTGGCAATCCTGACTACAGCCTTTCAAAACTTTGCCACTTTAACAGAACGGTTCGACTCTATGTAGGATGTAGGGCTCTTTTACATACATTTATCTTATAAATTCGTGAATATTAGTATAACAACATGATGGCTTCAAAACTTCACGCATTATTATAGAAGATACATTACGTGTGTCTATGAGCGTCATTTTGAAATTCCGCGCACACGGCATGTCAGCGCGCTCTAGGAGAGTAGCTATACTAAGATTTATTTAATTGTGCGCTTGATGTTAACCAGATGTTCAGTTTCATCCAATCGAGAGCTTGAACGTCCCCATATTGACGTCACTGTAGCGATATGTAAGCTCCCGATTGGATAAAACCGCAATAGCTGATTTACCTCATGTGTACGACTAAATAAATCGTACCATAGAGGCAGTGGCGCCAGCTGGACACGCGCCACCACCAGCTCAGGTGGAGAGCGAGCTCGCCGCGAGCTCGCTGTGACGACGGCGGCGCCCACTAAGTAGAGGAGCCCGCTAGCATCAGCGTTGTCTTCAGCAAAGCTGTCAGAACTTCCAGTTTTCTCACTCGACACAATATTTCTGTCACGATGCTATGAGAGACATCCCGCACATTGAAAACGTACAAAAGAAAGTCTAGATCTCACGCTTTATGATGCACTTATTAGGCCGCAAATGGACTAAGCATTCCCCAGTTGGGGGATTGCAGCAAGCTCTCATTTGTAAAATCTGCAAGTAGTTGAAAATGAATGCTTCAGGGCCGCCCTCTGCGCCTCTAGGTACACTCCCATAGCGTATTTGCACCGCCATTTATGAATGCTACTGTTAATATATCACATTAAAAACTTTTCAATTAAATCATTTAAAAAAGACGCTGACTTAGGAAGCATTCTCATTTCCAAGATAGCTTCATACCAACGCGATCAACGGACAAAGTATAAAAAAGTAAAGTTTAAAAAATCGGTACACGAATTGCAAGTACGATTTTTCTGCATTGCTAACGAAATAACAACTGGCCCTTACCTCTACTCTTACTATTACAAGCAAAAGGAGAGTTCAACAAAACGTGCGCATAGTGAAGCTACATTTACGTCAAGAAGCAAAACAAGGAGCCATCTCAGCATTTGCTCAATGGATCAGGGAAACTGGACAAAAACCTGATCGAGGTGGGGGTCACTGACCCGGAAGCTAAAGTACATTATTTGTTACAAACATATTAAGTCTTTTAAAAAAAAATATACAATACAAATGTAAACTGCAACAATACATTATATATCACTGTTTTGTTAGAATAAACATTATTTTTCTTTAATAATCAGTATAGTCTCTAATTGTATAGAAACAGGATCAGGGAAACTGGACGAAAACCTGATCGAGATGGGGGTCATTGACCCAGAAGCTGAAGTACAATCCTTGTTACAGGTTCTTTACAATTATACAATCCAAATGGAATATATTACATTAAATGTCATTGTTAAAATAAATATTACATTCCTTTTGGATGCTCTGTATAGTCTCTAATTGTATAGAAACATGCGGGGTCTCTTCGAACTGTGGGCTTCTGATGGGTTGTTATTTTGGGCTTTATGTTGCAGGATTGGTCATTGATACACACAATGTGTTATGATCAGTTAATGCTAGCAAAATACAAACAAGTTCACAAATGAAGCACTCCGAGCGGTCAGTCTGCAACGAGAGTCAACGAGCCAGTCTGCTAAGGCAGCCAGTCAGCGGTCAAGCCACGCAGTCACGCAAGCAGTCGAAAACAGGGAGGCAACCTGAGGTCGAAGTTGGAGAGCCCGACTCAAAGGAGCTACCGGCGGTGCAGCTTTGGAGCCACGGCCACCGAGAGCGTCGCCATCGGACCTGTTGCCACGTGCTGTTGAGGTTCGGGACCGACCGTGCCCATGTGCAAATGCTAACTTGGAAACGTTGTGTTGTTTTGAATTAATATATGTTTGCTTGTATTTAGAGAGCATTAGCTTAATGTAACACATTATATACATTTTTATGAATTTAAATAATTTAGATTATCAATTTGCATATTCTGATCGTTCACACGACCGTTGTCCGGATAAGTAGAATTGTTCAGCGTTACTTTTCTTTCTTAGTGTTTTTGTAAGTTCAGTAATATCTACTTTATTCAAATCTGGCAGAGCCATTCGAAGGGTTCTAATACTTTGGAGAAGGCCCAGCACGGATTAGCTGTGTTCCGCCGAGATATAAAGAGTGTAACTGCAGTACGTGGGCGTTGGGTACCCAACTTCCAATCGTGTGGCTGCGTGTCTCAACTCGTGGACGGCGAGTTCGGTTTGTGATTGTTTGGCATATCCTTTTAACGCGTGGAATATTCAAATGTCAATGACTGCACAATCGACTGCAATCCTATTTCAAATTGTTTGCGAAGGGATGCTCTTTCTTGCAGAACAAGCAATAATCGTAATGCACAATAACCGAATACCAAAGGAATTTTAAAATAATTATTTCATTTCCCATTTATTGGATGGTTGAATTTCAGATTTGCCATCATACCATGATTTCTAAAGTATTTAAATTTTGCCTTGCGAGTCCAGTAGATTTATTTTAAAAAAATGATTCAAATCATCAAATGATCAAAATTAGTAGTAAAAATGGGGACTCGAAATTAATAATGAAAGGTGAAAATGGTTGTAGAGAAATTTGGGAATGATCTAGAAATATAAATGTGTATATTTTGAGTAATAAAGGATTTTAAATATCTTGGAATAGTAGCATAACGAAATGAGTGCGGGCCAACCCGCAAAACTTTTGCCCGGCCCCCTTTATGTTATGTTTATACCAAAACACAAACAGTTTTAGTACCTCAAATGATAAAAATATCCCCTAAAAATAGGCCCTCTTTAACTGGTCCCGAAATTTTCGCCACTGTCTCGAAGTGACTCTTAGTGCAGATGGATCTGATGACAATGGCATTACTAAAAAAATAAGCAAGAGAAGGGCAATTACTAGTAGACTTCATAGTATTTTATGGAACAAGAATATAATAATGACAATAAGTGATCGAGAAATTTTGAAAAACGATGTATTAATAATAATAATAATAATAATAATAATAGTAATAATAATAATAATAATAATAATAATAATAATAATAATAATAATAATAATAATAATAATGCAATGGAAATAAATTTTTGGAGACGATGTTGTTAGTACTCTCTGTTTTATAGAATATCAAACGAAGAGATTAGACAGATAATTCCGAGGCAAGAGATCGAAAATGTAGAATTCAAACAACTATAGTGTGGTCATCCAACGAGAATGCATGCTGACAGAATACCAAAAATTATCTTTGAGTGGATCCCTTTCGAAAGAAGAAAACATAAGCCAAGGAAGTCTTGGAAGGTCGTCATCGATTCGACGATGGTGAACAGAATAATAGAAGATGCCTGGCGGAATAAAAAACATTGGCGTGTTAAAGATGCAAACGGTAATTAGGAAAAACAGTAATTAGAACTGTAAAAACTGGCTTAATAATAATAATAACAATAATAATAATAATAATAATAATAATAATAATAATAATAATAATAA